CTGTGCCACCAGGGAGGGCCATAAATAAATAAATCTTTTTAAAAAGATATTAAAATATATACACATATTTTAAGACAAATTAAGAGCAATAATGGGAAGTCATCATGAACTTTTGATCAACATCTCAAAAATATAAAGAATGTTAATTAAAAGGATTTCATATCTCATTTCTGTTAAATCATAAAGCAAGTAGACATTTCCATGTGAAAGCATGTTGTACGTGTCATACCTTTTCATGAACTTTCTGGCCTGGGTCCATTCCTTCCAGATGTTCTGATTCTGTGGATCCCTCACTAGATGCCATTTTTCTTTGTATATGAACATTTTGCTCCCGCAATGCAACAATCTGCAAAATAAAAGAACTATGCCTTTACATTCTAAAATAGAGCATAAGTTTAAAAAAATTAAATTTACTCTAATGTTGTTAAGCTTTAGAACATACTAAAAATCAGAAAATGAACATTAAATTTGCACATTATTTCAAAAATATTCTTAAATTTGTGTTAGCACTTTGAATAATATTTATAAAAATTTGAAATTTACTTAAGAAAATATTTTCTAGGTAGAAAATGCATCTATCTATTGGAAATGGATATATATATATATATATATATATATATATATATATATATATATATATATATATATATATATATATATACCCACACACATATATATGTTTCTAACATGTTATTCTGAAATTACTTGAAAATTAATTTGTGATATGTAATGAAATTCATATGGACTTAATATTTCGAAATATGAAGGGAACAGAAGTGAAAATACTGAAGACTAAATATGAACACATTTGTTTGCCCTACGTAGATAGCACAACTGCAGTTTTAAATCAAGAAAATACAAAACCTGTATCTAATAATCTTTGTTGAAGTATTATGAACTCTTAGAATTAAATTAGTCTTACTGTCATTTTAATGGCCATTATCTTAGCAATGCTAGTTCAAATGTTTTTAAATTACAAAAATAAAAATCTAAAAAGGCAAATAATTCTTGAGACTTTTGAGCTTGCTTATATAGACAAGATATTTCAACTAGCTTTAGTTATTTTAATGATATGTAGTGTGGAAAGCAGCATTCTAGTGTTTAAAAAACAATGTTTTAAAAATACATTGCTTTTATTATACAAACTATTTTGAAAAAAATTCATTAGCATAATCAAATGGTTTATTTATATTATTATTAGACTATAATATAAATACATATATATAGTTTTCATTTATATTTATCTATATTATAGTAATATCAAATCAGATTTTCTAACATTAGTGGTTTGGGGAGAAATCAACTGCAGTAGTATTGAGTGGACAGTCAGATAGTAATTACATATTGAAATTATGAGACTAATATATTACAGAGGTCAATAATCACCCAGCAAAAAAAAGACATCAAGAGGCTGGGTGTTTGTTCCATTGTTTGCCATGGATGGACCATGATGTGTTCAGTGTGATGTGTTCATGAGAACAGGTGATTTTGCGTCTGATTTCCATCACTTGAACACAACATATCATTTTGCAAAATTATATCAGCATATAATGAAGATTATCTATATAGATGTTCTTCTTTCTTCTACTACTATAATCATCAAATAATTAGTTTCCTTACTTCCATTCCTGTCCATCTATAACACACAAATCAGTCAAATATATCTTTTAAGCTTACATTGTATTGTGTCATTACTCAGCTGCCTAAAATACATTGCTATTTTCCAAAATTATTTGTATACATATAAATTTTAGAATTTTTAAAATAAGATCTCTACTGTCCACAAGATCCTTGAATCCTCAAGGCCTCCTTTCTGTCCCTCTAATATACTTATTACTTTTTATTAGAAGTGAGGAACTCGGTGTTTCTGCTGAAAATTCTTTTTCCCAATTCAGAACAAAACTTCCACAATCCCACTTTTCAAATCTTAGCTGAAGTACTACTCCTCAGAGACACTGTGCCTGCCATCAGACACTTACTATTTTCTTGTTAGACACTTACTATTTTCTTGTTGACTCTGCATGTAGATTTGTGTGTAAAATCTTTTATTTCTTTATTTACCTAGTCACTTTGTTTATTTTCCTAGCAGAAATATTCATCTCCTAAGAGAATAATTTTCAAAAGAAAACCTTACTGAAAATATTTCATCTGAAGCAACACATTATTATGAGCATAGGTCAATCAAATCAAAATAAGTTGTATTAAATAATGAATGGGTCTTGGAAAACAATGTAAATCTAGTTCATGCAGAAATAACCAATGATAAAGACTGAGAGTACTTGAGAAACTTCAGAGAGATTAGTCAGCACAGAAATGTATAACAAAGCAACAATGAAACTGAAATAATTCCTAGATATATATTTATACTACATTCTTAACATTTTGTCTCTTGTGAGAAACAATAAAATTTTATTATCACTAATGCACAGTACAACTTTACTTATTGTGATTTTTTTAAAAAAATCAATATTTCAAGTATTGTTTGACAAAATTCTGTAATATCCATGATCCATAATATCTTTGATCCATGTGGATCAAAGTAGTACAATTTAAGATTCTATTTATTTTTGTTATTATTTAACCTTCTTACTAGTGAATAAAAACCTTTTAAAAATTACTTAAACATGAAATTTAACTCAGCTTGAAGAGTAAATTCTCATTGGTAGTAAGTCCTCTAAATTTCAAATATGTCTTATTGCCTAAAATAAAGCAGACCATCCATAAAGATAAATTGCTGAATGCATCAGTGAAAGATAAATTAATGCTCTTAATTCGGAAAAACAATCAAAATGCCAAATTCATATGGAAAAAACCCTATGAAATATATATCTTAAAAAGAATACAAACTCCAAGTTTTTCACATAGTATAGTCATGACAATTAATTCCAAAAGGAAACAAGTCAGAAGAACAGATACTGGATGATTTAACTTTTTTGCGGAATATTAAAAACAAAGCAAAGGACCAGACAAACCAAACCTAACAATACCTTGGGTTCTGACTGCAGAGCTAAGGTTACTGGAGGAAGGTAGAGTGGGAATAAAGGGTCCAGTTGTCCAGTGGATGAAGTAGGGCTATAGGTAGGCATATGTGGCGTCATAAATTTTAAAAGTTGTAAACCTGTATTCTAAAACATACCAACACTGAGCCCTCCCTGGTGGCGCAGTGGGCTAAAGTACAGCACTAAGAAGCCAAAGCCGCTTCAGCATGAGTTCAATCCCCTCCCGGGAGGTGATCCACATGGCGTGACAGACCTCTCCTGACACACCCGCTGCTCCCCTCAGCAGTGTACTTCATCAGTCGGCCTGTTCTGCTTCCCACTCTCTCTGGTGAATCCTCTTACCACCCCTGCACCTCTGTCCTGTACCCCAGTTCTGTATGCAAAAATAAATCTTAAAAAAAAAATACCAACACTACTTCAACACTCCCCGCTTCCTGCACCCTTCCTCAGCTAAAGCAATATAAATTAATGTTTTTAATAATATTAAGATACAGGACATTTCCATGAAGTTTAAGGAAGGTTAAAAAATATATATGAACAAGAGTTCAGAAATTAAATTTCTAGTTGAGAATTACTAGCAATAATAATACTGCTATGTATTGAATAACTATTTGCTACATAAGTGAACAGTAATTTACATACATTGCCACATTTAATCCTTCAAATAAATTGGATGTTATTATTATTTTACAAATGAAGAAACTATCAGAGAATGAATAATTAATATACCTGAGATCATAAAAAGAATGATATCCTAATCAGGTCTGACACATTTAAAACTTATGTTTCTAAAGCATTATCCTATCATGCCTTTTGAAAATTAATGAAGTGATGCACTGCATTCACAATCCAAATATTTATCTAGGTCAGGACCAGAGTTCCACACTCTAGTATCAGGGGAATTACTGCCCTGATTTGGCAAAATAATTTGCGCAGATAGATTATGTCTTCAGTTATTCTAGGCTTGGAATAGAAATTATGCTGTTTGTATTACTTTCCTTTTTAATATATACTTTTGCATCATGGACATTACAACTTACCTTGAAAATTTCTCAACCACTTTTTAAAATAAGCCATATCTATTCCTTATGATAGTACTCCAAGGAACTTCATTATGGTCTTTTTAAATTCATATTTGCCTTTACCTATTTAACAACAACTTCCGGCTGTGCTCACATCTAATTAACAAAGATTCTTTTCATCTATTTTTACCCCAAACTCAATTAACAATTTCAAGAGTGAGACTTACAAATGTCTCACTGCACCAACACATAATTTGCTTCTACACAGATGCTTATTCTAATTCTAGCTGAATTCCATGCTTAGTTTACATGAAAACACACATACACACACACAAAACAACAACAACAACAACTCATGGAACAGTAAGGATTTGCAACTTACACCTAAGAAATTTTCCAGCTTTAATATTTTGTATAACTATTATTATTATTATTATTATTATTATTATTATTTGGGAAACCACGAAGTTTGAGACACTTATTCAAGCAAAATTAAGGACCTCAAGATAATAACTATTTCTCTATCCAGCTCGGGCATTGGGAAGTATAAAACCAGTTAATACAGTCTGGAGGAAGATAGGGTGGGAATATAGGGTCCAGGTTTCCAATGGACAGAGGGGGGCTATATGGCTTCATACATTTTAAGTTATAAACCTGTATCCTAAAACACATCAATACTGGGCCCTCCCTGGTGGCACAGCATGTTAAAGCACAGCACAAAGATACTAAAGCCACTTCAGCATGAGTTCAATCCCTGCCCTGGAGGTGACCCACATGGCACAGCAGACCTCTCCTGACCCTGCTCATCACATTCATTTTCAGTGCTGGTTTATAGTGAGTATGGAGAGATTTCTATTGTGAGAATTGTTTCTTGTTATGTTAAAAAAAAAAAGTTAATAGTTAAATATATAAATCCATTTATTCCACTGATGACAAAATAGCTTGGAAATGGGAAGCATAGGCTGATTTTTGTGGTGGTTTAGAACACTCACTCTGTTTAGCCCACACATAGTTATTGAGTAGATGAGAACAAATTACATACTTTTATTTTTAACCTCCTACACTTTGATTCACCCAAATGCCATTCGATGAATCAATTGAGTACTAAAATTTAAATGCACATTACCAGGAAGTTTCTGGTGACCCATAGATTAAAAACAGAGTACATGAAAAAATACAGGAATTTTGGCTGCTCTAAATTTCGTATCGGAGCTTAGTTTGTTAAGCTTGAAAACATAAGGATACCATTCTAAACAAATTTGCTTAGTTTATCATGGTGAAAAAATTCTTTGAAGAAAACATTAAAATTTTAAGACCCCTTTTAC